GCGTGAAAGATGAAATAGTATTAAATATCCTTAAAGATCTCATGCTAGCAGATGAAATGAAATCATCAGCCAAAAGTATTGAAAGTCTTTTAAATTATGCAAAGGACCTTTACTACAAAGGTGACAAAAACCTGGAGCAGTATTGGCCACCTAATTGGAGGGAAACTGAAACGTTACTGAAAGAGCTGGGTTATGAAGATCCGAAGGAATATTTCATATGCCTGGATGAAAGCCATTATGCTAATTATGATGTTATGGAAAGTAAAGATTCCCAATGCAGATTCTGTGGAAAACCTGGGACTATACAGTATTATTATATTTTCCTCCATCAAAAAGTCAAATTGTGGTGCTCTGATGATTCCATGTGTCAGAAAATGGCTAAATTCTGGGATGAGAAAGACCATTGGCTTGGTCATGAAGGGCCTTGGTTTCCTCTTAAAGAAGTTTGGGACGGCTCGCGATTTAGTGAAGTCTCCTGGTTTTGGGATCCAGATTCTGAGTGGTTATTACCCACCAGATGTTGTTTGCGTTCATCAGTTATAAGTGCAAAACAAATTGAAGAGTCCTATGATGGTAATAAGTACGATGTTACTTGCAATGAATGTGGTTCAGTGACTGCTTGTGCAGGTGAAAAAGCTCATGGTGATCCTAGAAATATTGCATTGATTGGGCACTGGGATGGGTGATACCCATTTCGGGGGAAATCTAGTCACACATGTGGTGCTATAGATGTGTCAGTCCTTAATATGTCAAAAAAAGATCGGTGCACCACAAGTGAAGTCTACGTTGTGGGTTTTGTCCCTTGTTATAAAGTCCCCAAAAGGCGTCCATGTGCTTTGGATGCCTTTTTGGAACCCCTTGTTCGAGATCTAGAGGACAGCTTTATCGAGGGGACGAAAGTTAATTATGCGAGAGATATTGGTCCATATAAGTGTGGTGAGACAATTGTGCGTTGTATGCTATTACTGTGGACTGGGGACTATCCAGCCCAATGTGAAGTGGAATCTATCCTTGCAGAAGACATCATCTGAAAGGTACAAATAAAGAATGTGCGAGTACTTATTATATTGGAGATAACAGGTATTGTGCTAGGTTTCCCGTTGCTTCTCGCATTTTGGAGGATGAAGTGCAGACGATGTCAAAAATTGAAGATGAAGATTGACCAAATGTTCGATCTAATCTAGCGAAGGAAAGTGGATACACTGGTTTGTCTATACTCCATAGACTCCACAAATTGTATGGTTTTAACGTGATATCAGATACTGTGTTTGATATGATGCACAATATTCCCCTTAATGTCATAAACAAACACATCAACCGCTTTTTCAATGATGGTGCAGTAACCTCCGCCACCAAGTCAATTTTGGATAAGAGACTTGAAGCAATGCCTTGGACTAGTGAGCTAAAAAGTGGAAGAGTTCCTAAATCTTCTGCTAAAATTGGCAAATGGAAAGCAGAAGAATACAGAAAATTTGCATTTCCCGCATCTGAGTGTGTGTTGGGAGGTCTTGTTGACGATGAATACTTCAAAATTTGGGTTTTAGCAGCACGAATGGCTGAAATGGTTTACTATTTTGGAAGGAATGGTTGCAAAGAAGATGACATCACATTATTTGACAATTTGGCAAAACGTCACATGATCCTTGTAGAAGAGCAGCTTGGACTAAACCAAGGTGTTGTGACTGCTCATAATCTTGAGCATGTAACTGAAGATATTCTTCGTTTTTCCTCACCTGATAATTACTGGTGTGAAGTTTATGAGAGGGCTGTTTCCCAATTTATTGCCACTTCGTCGAACAAAAAGAACATCGAACTGACTTTTGCAAAAAGTGAAGCGAGAAGGGAACTCTTAAAAAGCCACAAGTGCAAGATATATTCGCCACAGAATACAAGTTCGGGACACTGCAACCAAATTAAAGGATGTGCAAGCAGCATATCAGAAGCACAAAAACTCCTTGCAGAGCAACTTTCCACGTCACAAAATATCGATAGTGGAATCCTAATTGGTAAACAAGAAGGCAATAATTTAAAACTATCAAGTCACGAGAAGGACCTTATCCAAAAACATTATTCTCAATCTCAGAGAATTGAGACAGAGGGTCTTCTTTTTCTTCTTCTTCTTAATCTACAATTGACCATTTACTTTTAAACAAACTTTTTTAACTGGGAAAATTCATTAGTATAAGTAGCGATACAAATAGCATCCTAAGTTTAATAAAATTGCAAAGTTTGGGTTGCAAACTATGGAAAATATAGCGTTGCGAAGTTTATTTTATATACTTTTAATTTGTATTACGTACGCAAAATTCTTACCATTTTCTACAAGTGGTAAGCAATTTCCAGGTTTAATACAAAAATATACAAAATTTTTGAATTTTTTGTCTAAAAAGAAAATGGTACATTGACAACGTAATTGTCTCTTTTATAGTTACAGTAGATGTATTTTGATATATAAGTCAGTTTTAAAACCGAAATACGCAATATCGATCAACGAATTATTCATGCATAGAAGTCAATCGAATGCCAATCGAATATTGAAAAGTTAATTGAACAATGAATTTGCAAGGGGCAGCCGGGCAGGGCATTAGAAAATTGTTTGTTGGGGGACACAAAATCATGCAAGGCAAATTAGCAGTGTTGCCAGACTGTTAAATAACTAAGGCAAACATTGTTATAAGTGGTCCTTTTTCAATGGAATTTTATTGATATCCCATTTTGAAATTACCATTTACCATTAATGGGTTTCATATACCAAATAATAACCATTAATGTGTATTGCAATAACCACTTTGGCACTTTTACCACCTTGGGTTTTTTTTGAATACATTGATGGTAAAATGAGCAAATGACTTAAGAATCATTTTCCCATCTGTGGTTTTGAAGTACTTGGATGGGTTTAGTGGAAAATTCATTTTGTAATGTGAACCCATCAATGGTTTTTCCTTTATTGTTTCTTCATTCCATTAATGGTATTTTTTTAGTAATGGAAGCTACTCTTATTCCATTATGGTATCATCATTTACCGATATTGGAATTTTGGACAGAATAATTTTCCCATCTATGGTTTTGAAGTACTTGGATGGGTTTAGTGGAAAAACCATTTTATAATGTGAACCCATCAATGGTTTTTCCTCTATTGTTTCTTCATTCATTAATGGTATTTTTTTATTAATGGAATCTACTCTTAATCCATTATGGTATCAACATTTACCAATAATGGGATTTTGAATTTTTTTTCCTGTGATTGCTGTAGATAGTGTAAATATCTTCTATCAATCTCAAGATATTGTTATAAAAGTGAGGTTTAGATTTTACTTCTGTTACCACTATCATTTACAAAGGACCCTGGGCCAATCAATCAATCCGATAATTCAATCAGATGCATACTAAGCCAGTGAGAGGTGATAGTCTAATCTCAACCTCTATTCATTCCGAATATTCATTCCAATACAGGCTCACATAAATTTCATTTACAATTCAGTTCAATCTCTGCTGAATCAGAGCATTTATTTAACTAATGTTCTAGTAAAAATATTGACTACAAATTATCACACATGGCAGCCATCATGGAATTTAGGAAAGTTAATATCTCATTTATAAATGAGATCTGTTATCACATCTATATATTTGCTAAAACCCATATCGACTTAAAACGTTTTACTTGCAGTAGTAATTGAGCTAAGTAATAGTTGTTTTTAAACTAAATATTATCTTTTAAAGATTGACAATCTGTTCATATAAACTTTTCATGTAGATGAGAGTGTTTAAAATGTCTACTCAATACAGGATCTTTTCTAATGTATTTAACCCGAATACAATAATTTCATACAACCTAGCACAATCCTGACCCTAGAATAATACTTTTAGTTCCAAAAAGAAGTAAATTTACTTACTACTAGTAATACTCAAATATTAGTGAAGTGTGTTCGACTCCGAAAGATCAATTCAATCTAAAAATATATTGCAGAAGATATCAAGCCATTTTCATAGGGAAATCAGGCAAGTTATTTATTTACTTAATAACAAGGTGGGATATAATCACATAATATAGTTCTAATGGCTGTAAATAGATTAGAAATTACAACTGTAACAAAATTTAATAATGACAAAAGTCATGAATACAACGCCCTAATATAAACATGATGAAATGGTCATACAGTTCCTTGTTGTTCCTTGCATTATGAAATGAAAATATAAAATTAGTAAAGTTAAATTGGAACAAACCAGTGAAATTGAACTCTAGTACAATAGTTTTTAATGTCATAACGATTCAGTGGTGGTGTGGTCGAGTCGCATTTGAAGATTCTTCGTTAATTGGTCTTGTTGCTTGACAAGAATTCGTAAATTCCAATTAACATTACAGGTTGAAGGAAGCTGCTGCAATTTGCAGAAGCGGCACACAGCTTTGTTGGATGAAAGAATCTCGAGGCCTTGTTTTTGACATCCATTACAGGACAGGGTCTTGGAAGCTTGTTGGACTCCAATAATTTTGGCCATAACTTCTGTTGTTGTGTCAATTTCATGCTCATACGCAGCAACAGGGGCATCAAAGGCTGCAGATTCAACCGCAGAAAACTCTTCGTTCTTCGGTGTGTTGAGATAATTTTCGAATCTGGTACACTTTATTCTTACATTTTTCAAGACGTAAGTGTGGTCTACATCAAGAGTATTGACAAAGTCGCCCCATAGAACCAGTTTAATATAACCACTTGGATCTGCTACGATGACATCTTGTTTTTTGACCCTGCCAAAGCGCGTTGCTTGTACTTTCTGACCCAACACTTTTAGGACTTTCCCTTTAATAGTTATCAATTGCTCCGACACCAAATTGGATACTGAAGAAACGGAGACAGGTTCTCCAGTTGCAGACTGGGATAATTCTTCAGAAAAGGCAAAGTCGACCTCGCCTTGTTCGACTGGGGTGATCGTGGTATACTTTGTTATTGTTACGTTGTTTTCATCATTTCTTGCTCGTTTAAAGCTTGTAATCTTGACTGGACTTTTGGTGGTTGCGACGGCGCTCATCTCAGATCTCTTTTCTGGCGAAAAACATACGCCTCTCAGTGCCCTGTTATCACACTGAACCACACAGTTGAAGTACTTTCGTTTTGATTCAGTTGCTGTTTTAACTTGCGAAATGTTGTGCAAATAGCACAACAGGGTTTCTACATATAACACAAAAAGGAATGAAGATAAGTATTGAATAACATCGACAGCTGGTGGAACTGGTGTTATCAGACCCTGATCAAAATACACTGTTTCGATAATTACGTTATTTGGCCTCGTACCCTAGCTTTCATGAATCGTGAGCCAATCGCCTTGCGTCTGTTACTATTATACCTATACAAGACTTACCTGGTGGTGTATTAGAATTTGGATCATCAGCCATCTGCAAAAAAGAAATGTTATTAATGTTGTTACTGATAACTTTATTATTTTAACAATAATTCAAAAAAATAGAACTTACTTTATTTTGATATGACCTCAGCGGAACTGTGAAAAGAATACTTCACTGTCTTATGAAAAGCAAGAAAGCTGATGGTAATTAACTGTACAGTAGCATAAAGTTTGAATTTACGAACAATTAAGCAAAAATAAATACAATTACTATTCTACGATTATAACTTTTAAAATAATTCCCCGAGGAAGCGGTAAAATTTCCAAAAAATAAAATTAAAGATTTTGCCCTATAAATTGTTCAAATGTTTTTTTGGCCATTTCATGTAATCTATCCTCCTCTTTTCGTCTGTACTGGAATGTTTTCAATGAATTAAGTTTTGATAAACGCTCATAAGTCATAGGCTCAATGACACACGATGAGAGTGTTCTCACTCTACTTAAAGCCACATATGTCATTCCGGGACAACTTTCTTTCTTTCCAATATTAATCCAAGCTTTAGATAAAGTAAGACCTTGACTTTTATGTATTGTAATGGCCCAAGCTAATCGTAAAGGGAGTTGTTGCCTTTCATGGAATCCATCTAATGACTGGGTAGTAACATTGATGGGGCATATTGGTACATAGTTCGAGAGTGTCTGACAAAGAGATGGACCTCTGTAATTATCAAATTTAACAACAACTGCTATTGGCAGATCAGGAGGATGGTGGTTATTTTCATATATAAAATATTCAACAGTGCCTGTCGCACCATTGCAAAGACCAACAGTCGGCCATAAATTCATTGTCAGCATAATCTTTGCACCCTTAGCTAAATACAGCACAGGCTGAAGGCCAGAAAACTCATCTGCAGGAATTTTTCGAGCGGTGGCAGAAGAATGTCGAGCGTTTATTTGAGCAATTGGTTTTTGAAGTTTGACAAGGTTTTCATAATTAAAATTAGCAACTTCCTCATTGCTATAAAACAATCTTGTTGCATCATTAAATTCGGATAAATTGGAAATTTTTAAAGGTTGTCGAGTCAAAAGCAGTTTCCAGTCATCTACTGTTGATTCACCTTTTCTTAGCCTCAGCAATAACTCTCTAAATTGTGTTTGCTCTGGGTCATTTCCCTGTACACGCTGATTAACATCGAGTTTAACTACATTATCAAACATCTGATATGTAACATATCCCTGTTCACCAATACTATTCGTTGGTACCGCATGATAAAGCGGCTTGTCTGCTACTGGAGGTAATTGGCCTGGATCACCACATAAAATCATAGATTTACCACCAAGCAATCTGTCTTGGTAACCAGACACTTGCTTACACCATCTAACTATCCAACCAAATGTCATTTGACCAAGCATGGAATATTCGTCAATTATGATATAATCAATTTTGCTCAAAGATTCTTGTAATCTTATCTTGTAATCTTATCGAACCAGTCAGGTACATTTTCCTTTGCGTATTGTGTTTGAAGAAATTCTTGCCATTTACTGATCATATTTTCATTTGATGGCTCTACATTATCCCAAGCACTTTCTTGTGTTATTTGCCAAGGCTTGTATTTTAAAAGTTGATATTTGCAATACTGAGAAAAGTTTGGACCTGCTGGATTTGGTGAATATGTAGGAAAAATTCTAGGAACTACATTATCTGGAAGCTTTGCAAGCTTATTGTTCACAACTTTAAATTGTGTCGCAAATTGAACAAAATTTAATTTGGCTGTATCAATTGCACTGCAGTATTGCGCACGATTAGCGTAAATATCAAGTAGGGAATTGTTAGAACAGAGTTCACCATCTGCTGAAAACACGTTATTCCTGCGTGACCCATTCAAGCAAACAGGTATCACATTGAAGCTTGAACTGTGAAGTTTAAGAGAGAGCAGATGATGCATTGTTTCTTGTGCAGCATAATCTCTTTCACCAACAGTTTTCATAATAATTTTTTTAATAGCTTTATGAGAATTAGCATTGCTAGGAGTATTATTTACAATCCTGTTAAATGCTTCTTTAAGCACAGTGGTCCTAGGCTCACATTTTGCAGTGTATTTGGTAAGATACTCGACACAAGCATAGTGTTCAATAACTATTTGTATATCACAATTCGCTCTCCAACCTTGCAGTTGAAGCTGCTGGTGGTTATTTAGCCGAGAATCATTTCTCCTTGTGACCATTTTAGCTCTAAATTGTTGCTCATGACCATTAGTATTAACTTCTTCAAATTCTAGCCTCGTCTTACAGCATTTTTCCTGTGGATAATTAAATCTACATTTTGGTTCAGAATTAGGGGGCTTTTTTCTTAAGCAATAATTGGTGCTACAACGTGTATGGCGTTGAACCATATTTAAAAGATCACAAAAATCGTCATGCATATCACCATCTGAAATGTCATCATAGCGCTTTTGGCATGGATGTGTTTCTGGTCTAAGCCACAATCCATCATCTGGTGGATTTGGGTTCAATGTAGAAAGCAACCAATCTACATACTTACAAGCTAATTCAGAAGCTTTCTTACCAGCAATAATATCATTGTCGAGCGCTAGTGTGTTTTCAAGTTCTTTGTTTTCATTTTTGAACCTTTGTGCTATGAAGCCCTTAAGAGCAATCTTAGTTAGATCACACAAACCAGGGTCATTGTTTAGTTTTGCAATCCCATGGCAATGTATACCAATGCAATCTATACCAATGCCATTTGGCATCAAGTGTTTTGTACAACCAGTGCTTGATGAAAATTTCAAGTCTTTGAGTAAAAAACCAATCTACAATATGTGGGTTATTGATTACTGCTTGTCGCCTTTCTTCACTAGTGGCATTGACGCTCCCAAGTAGTGCATGTAAATCTGGCCAATGCATGTCTGCTGATGAGAATGTAAAGAAAAATGTAGGGGTTCCAACTGTTGTTACAATGGCTTTGAGTTCTTCTCTTACTTTATACCAGTAAGCATTAAAGCCAGCAATATTTGCTACATATCGGGATAATTTAGAAAGAAAGGCATTACTGTTACTAGAACTTGTAGCCATTTCACACAGTTCATCTATTGTCACCTGGATTTTGTTTAAGAAATATTCCGCCTTGTTGCAAGGTTCGTTTTCTCTGTATCATGTTAAATACCCAATAGCTAAACCTCGGGTGACTGGCGAATCTATAAATCCAATTGCCATCAATGTTTTCAGCAAATTTGATTAGGTGCTTTACTCTTTCAGCCAAAGGAATATCCTTTAAAAGCGAGGGATTTGTTGGATCTCCTTTACCAACAGGAAATAGTGTAGGAAATGCTAGTGTAGCTAAAAAGGGTGTTTCATATTCATTAATGGGCTGGTCATCAACTGTGGGCGAATTTATTTTTTCTTTTTGACAAATATGATTTTGTATGGCAACTACTTCTTGTGGTTGTGTTTGATTAACTGGCATAAAGCTACTAACTTCTGTTGTCTGATTATAAACTTTATCTTCATCATTTTCAGTAGGAGGACCCAAGTCAGGTAACGTAATTTCTTCAAGCACACTATCACTAATAGATTCAACAGTCATGATCTCAGATGGTACACCATCAACTGGTAATGACTCCAAAGCTTGTTTACTAATAGTAACATTTTTATAATGTGGATTGTTTTGCAAAAGCCATAATAAAGCATCCTGCACTTTTTTCCTTCTAACTTTTACATCTTTAAATGTATTGCCCTGACCTTTCATTTTTACTATAATTATAGACAGGTCCTTAGGATACCTGGGCAAAACTGATGCAAGCTTTTCAACATGCTGAGGCAAATTAATGCAATGTCCAGAATAAGCTCTCTGCCCACCAGGTTTAACATAAACCCTCATTATTGGAAGGGTTAGCATTAGCAATTAGCATTTCTTCTGTTTGAGTTAAACCTTGTAACTCAACAGGTACTGATCCTGGTATCATGGCATTGTCTTCAGAAAATCTTTTTGGAATGTTTTTATCTCTAGAGCATCGTAAGCAAACATATGTATCAGATTTTGGTTTGGTGTTGATTGGCCATGCCTCACAGCAGACTGTGCATTGGAAAATTGAATATTGCATAGATTTGTGAAATTGATTCATGTTGAATTTTGCCTTTTTTATGCTATCAAATTCATTCAAATATTCAGTTTTAACTGAGTCGCCAAGATAATCAGAGGCACTGGATGCCTTTTTCTTTTTAGCACACTTAGGGTTCACTACATCTTTGCTTTCATTTGCTCTGCATGATTTATTGAATGTGGTCTGCTTTTCAAGCCGGAGTTTTTTTGCATGCGTAGTTTCATTGGATTGCTGTTGCTTAGCAATTACTCTCTTTTTTGTAAGCATTTCTTTTCTTTTATTATCAGTTTCCTTGTCTGTACTTGGTAAAGTAGAGACATAATGTTTATTATTCAGATAACCCAGAAAAACAATATTTTGCCTCTGAGGCAATTTAACAGGTGTTATAATGGTTGCATTTGGATTTGCACTTGAATCAGTAATATGAATAGTACAGCAGAGTGCATTTGCCACTGCTTGCATGATTATGTTATCACACCAAGTTCCAGCTTTGGACATTTCCTGGATATATCTATCCCATGACATGTGCACAATATTTTCAATATAAAGGCTTGGATTGTTAATTAAATGTTTATTCCAGCAGTACGAATTTGAAAATGATAATCTGATTTTTATACAAAGCATGGCCCATGGATGCAAAAAAACAATCACCAAGTGGACCTTCACAATCATGGGGAACTCGACCTAGTAAAGCTAACTTTTTTTCTAAGTTGATCCACAACAAATCCCAGTCATGAGCAAAAGTCGTATTTGCTAAACAAATTTCATTAGTTGGTGGTTTTTTGCTAATTATAACTTTTTCTTTGGGAAGCAATTTTTTTCCTCTATGATTTTTATTATTACTTTTTTCATCTCTACTTAGAAAAGTAGAAACATAATGTTTATTATTCATATAGCCTAGAAAAGCAGTTTTTTCACTCTGAGAAAAATTGTTAACAGGTGTTATAATGGTTGCATTTGGATTTGCACTTGAATCAGTAATATGAATAGTACAGCAGAGTGCATTTGCCACTGCTTGCATGATTATGTTATCACACCAAGTTCCAGCTTTGGACATTTTCTGGATATATCTATCCCATGACATGTGCACAATATTTTCAATATAAAGGCTTGGATTGTTAATCAAATGATTTATTCCAGCAGTACGAATTTGAAAATGACAGTCTGTATCATTATACAGAGCATGACCAATAGATGCAAAAAACAATCACCAGGTGGACCTCTGCAATCATGAGGCACTCTACCCAGTAGAGCCAACTTGATCCACAACAAATCCCAGTCATCAGTACAAATATTATTTGCCAAAGGCATACCGCCACACAAGCCGAATTTAGCACAAGCATATCCTTTCAAGGATGAAATATTATATTCTTCTCTGACACAACTGCCAGATATTGTATCCAAACGTAACCCAGCCGAATAACTGGGTTGTGCATATATATTTCTGTGACCACCTTCTATAGACATGGTCATTGTGCTCATATGAGACCCAGCCAAATAACTGGGATTTGTGTAGATCTCTGTGCGAACACCTGCTGTAGGCACGTTGGCAAAGTCATATTTTCCAACGCTACAACTTGGCGAATTTACATAATCAATAATGTACATCTCATTTACATTACTTGACAAAGTAGAACATGTTGACCAGGTATCTACATCACTGATGCAAAGCGATACTAAATTTGCTCTAAACACAAACTGATCGAGAAAAATATTACTCTGATTACAGCTAGGAAATGTCGAAAACAGTGCAGCGCCGAGTTTCGGACATTTCATCGTCTGATTTCTACTGGAAAAAAACTTGATCCAAAGCTTTCTGATTCTTTGATAAATATATGTAGTCATATTGAGCATAATATATAAAAAAAGAAATAGAAATTTACTTACCCTTCGAAGAAAACAGCAATAATCAACGCCCAAGCAACAATTAAACAGACTGAGCACATGGAAAAGAATGAAAATCAACTGTCTTGCTTATAAGTAATATCAATGACTTGGTTATACACGTCATGCTCGAGTAATAATTTCATTGGACAAGATGTCACGACATCGAGGCTAACTCCACAAACATGAATTCTCAAATTCGCGTGGCATATCGAAACCCCCCGCAAAGACACAATTAGAATGCGTTCTCCTTCGTCGAACGCAATAAAGACGATGAGAGGCTTGAATAGTTGAATTCCAGAGAGAACAATCTCTTAACTGCTGCCAGTAACCACATTTCGTGAAGTGTGATGAAAATGATGGAACACAACGTGGGTTCACGATGCCTTGACGAAGATGACGTCACTATCGATCTACATATGATTGCGGAAATCGCGGAAAGCGCGATTTGCCGAAAGATACTGGAAGCTAGCTTCTCAAATATTAGTATACGAATAAAAAATACAAATTTGCTATCAGTGGCGGATCAAGCCTGCGCGGGGCCCCTGGCGCATCATTATTGGCTAGTTGATGCCCCCCTGAAAAAAAATTTTACGAATAACAAAAAAAAAGACAAGAAGAAAGAATCGGAAAAAATTTATAAGTGATGAAGACAATAATATTTACAAACAATGTTCCGGCAAAGCGATAATATTTACGAACAATGTTTTTGCAAAATGTTTTATGCAAATGGCATTTTTCTAGCCTTTGTAGAAGCAAAATCATTTGCTAGCTTATGGAAGTCAAGCGATCGTAAAATATCGGATTCCATGCTCATTATCGATAAGGCAGTTAAACGTTTTTGTGCCATCGTGCTGCGCAAGTCACTCTTTAACCGTTTTAGCTTTGAGAATGAGCGCTCCCCAGTACAGTTACTAACCATCATGGCAAGATAAATTCGTAAAGCAATTTCCACATTTGTGAAAGTTTCACTTAGCTCATTTTCTTTGAGACTGAGAAACATCAGTAACTCAACGGACCTCTTCTCGTCTTCCTCTTGTGGAACTCTCATCTTCCGAACACGTGCTCCAGGTTGCAATGGCTCGAAGAAATAATTAGTAAACTGGACGAGCTCATTAGGGAAGGTTTCTTCCAAATCATCTGGATAGGCTTTAGCAAGATTTCTGGCAGCAGCTTTCACATCCTCGTTGCACATGCTGCTAAGCTGAGAAAGAAAGCCAAATCTCTCAGAGACGGTTTTGTAACCATCGATTCTTTGTTTCAGAGCAGCGCAGATATGATCGATAATGGTATAGAACACTTCCACACGAAATTTGACACCAGCCCGCAAGACTGTATTCTCAGCTGGACCTTCGTCGCCCAGAAAGATCCGTTGATTTCGTTGGCGAGTACGTCTTGAAGAATCTGCATACTCGCTATGGCCACACTTTTCTGCACCTTTCTTCTCGTAATCATCAAAGTCCTCTCGGAGTTGCTCCACAAACATCAAAAGTGAATCCAACAAATTTACGGCAGAGTTCAATGGTAAACTGGCTTTCTGAAGAGAACAACTTGTTTTCTGAAACCGTTGTAGGATGTCATTCCACAATTTGAGTAAAATTGCAGTTTCAAGCTTTTCAAGACGTTTTATAAGGCCAGATGCTTCGTTTCTTGTTTCCGCCGATTGGTCTAGGTCAGCAGCCATTTCTTTTAGGGCATTCTTGTTCTGTTCGTAGCCATTGTTCAGTGCTTTCGCTGCATCACCTCGTTGCTGACCGGCGTGTCTCAGACAAAGATTTATCGACAGGCAGTCCCTCAAGATTATTCTTCAGAATTGTCCAGCGATGAGTGGATCCCGAAAAAAAATTGTAGAGACTCTGGATCAGGTTAAACATTTCACTGCCGTCTGAACAGGCCTCTGCTACATGTTTTCCCACCAGATTTAGCGAGTGGGCAGAACAAGGAACATACGCGGCATATGGTGAACTTGCTCGAACAACAGCTTGCACTCCTTTGTACTTTCCGCTCATGTTCGACGCATTGTCGTACGACTGTCCACGACATAGTTCAATTGGAATACCTTGCCCGGCCAGAAACTTCAGCAAATAATCGGCAATTTGGGCTCCAGTATGACCATACATGGGTAGAATTGTCAGGAATCGCTCGACAGGACCGGTGAATTTAACGTACCGGATTGTTACTGCAAGTTGATTAACGTGCGTTACATCTGGGGTGGAATCAACGGATACGGAATAGTGAATCAACAACTTGACTTCTTCTACAACGGTAGAAAGAACTTCTTTGCCCATGAGAACAATAATCTCTTCGCAAATTGACGATGACAAATAGGAAGCTTGTCCTTTGCCTTGGTTTCCATGCTTTTGGATATGCTGGGCCAGAAAGGGGTCATATTCGGCCAAAAGCTCCAGAATAGGCCCAAGTAATTGCTATTGTGTGCTGACCCAATGTGCTCATCTTTACCGCGGAGGGCTAGACCACGTTCGCATAAAAACTTGATGACACTGATCAGTCGCTTCAGTAGCTCCTGGCCATATGACACTTCATCCTGGTATTGCTTCATCAATGCTGCATCAACAGTGCCGCCTCTCTGCTTTCGTTTGTGCAGTGCTGTTTTCATGCTTAGAGATTTGCTCGCCTGCATGTTTCCAGTCGTTATAACCGACAACAAACTGGGAACTGGAATTCGTAGACATTACTTTGCACGCAAAACAGTATGTCCGCCCGGTTATTTTTGAGTAGCACAGCCATTTGCGATCATTTTCTTCTCGCCTGTGCGTGGAATTTTGGTGAAATATGGAAGCTGACAGTAACGATAAATCTGCTTGTTTCCACATTTTTTGGCTGATTCAGTAAATTTACCTAAATTGTCAATATGTCGACAGTCATCGCTTCCGTGTGCAATCCAGAAGTCATGCATACCATTAGGTATTTTATCAGGCCAAGCACCAAGATTGTTTGTGAATTTGCGCGAGTCGAACGCTAGCTCAGGTTGTTGAACATTTTTCGACGCGTTGCTTTCGGAAATATCATCATCCCTAACACGCTCGGTACCGGTTTCGCTAGCATCTTCATCAGCAGTTGCAGCGATGCCCTCAACGGTTACGGAATTTTCATTGATCGCGTTGGAATGATCTTCAGAAATAGAAACATTGGTAGTGGAACTGGATTGCGAGACAGTGGCATCACGACCAGTACTAGAGGTTGTCAAGTAAAACTGATCAAGACGGTGCATTTTCGCTTGTTCCTTATTCTCTTGCTCTTCTCGTTTTTTTTTTTTTGCGTTTTCGATAGCAGACAAATAATCAGCACGGCCAAGGTCTCTTTTCCTACCACCGCCGGATTCTCCAGACATACCGTTCTTTTACGCAATTAAGCACCTGTGACTCGTTGAAGACAATATGTGATGTGTTGTAAGCTTGGCCACAATTTTACTTTCCAGATGCGAAATTAGATGCCATTCATAGCCCATAACAAAACACCAAATTGACATCTAGAGGAAACACTTGAAAGTGGAAACTTTGGCCGCTACTAATCAGTTGCCAATTAACCACACGATTTTCCACAAAAAGTATTATGAAAACCTGAAAACGTTGTATGGTATTCCATACATATTTAACTTTTATTAACCCTTTATACAGCACAGTTGCTTTGTTTTGGCATTGTTTTGGCATTGTTTTGGCAACAAAATATTCCATCCCCTCGTGTATGGGGGCTTGGGCGCAAATGAAATTTTAAATAGTGTTACATCAAGTACTGCAAGAAAGAATTCATGGATAAACATGGCGGCCAGATGCAAGTCTTTTTTGATGGAATAATTTCAAGCTAAACATTCAAGCTAAACATTCAAGCTAAACATTGGTGAGATTGAAATCCGAAACCTCCAACGTCTTTTATACAATCTGTTAATCTGGCAATTGCTCGACACCGTGTGCTTGCCCGTGCAGGCTACAATATACAGTAGACGCGGCATATCCTTGAAAAAAGATGAAAAAAGACTGGCTTTGCGATGCGTGGGCATCCTTAATAGCGCGGGGCATTTGCCTTTCTGTTTGCCCTGCAACATACAGACAATATCCTTGAAAAAAACTGGCTTTGCGAAGCGCGGGGCCCTTCAAAAGCGCGGGGCCCCTGGCACCTGCCCATGCTGCCCCCTTGATCCGCCACTGTTTGTTATCTTGTTCGAATATTTCAAACAAGTTCTAAGCAGCTTTTTGAAATCGAAAACGTTCTTAACTAATTTAAAACGATAATTAAAACTTTTTATACGGGCTTGATGTTTATAAAATTTAAACATCACACAAAACGGCAAATGTTTTGTGTCAATCACAACGTTTTGAGAACCTATGGCTTAATTTAAGCCGGTGACTAATAAAATGTGATATATAAACATACTATTATCTCACATTTTCAAAATAATTCCATATGACGGTCTGTGAACGTTTATATTTCACAGTTCTGAGAACGTTCTGTCAACGTTAGTGAAAGACGTAATGAGAACGTTCCTATAACTTTTTGAGAACGTTGCTATAACATTGTGAGAACGTTCAAGAACGCGCGTACCGATTTGTAATTTGATCAGTCAATATAACAGGCAAAGATACGTTCCGATAACGTCCTGCCAACGTTGGTAAATTACGTAAAAGAAAAACGTTCCAATAACGTTCACACAACGTTGTGTGAATGTTTGGTCCAACCTAACCAAACCAGAACCATTATACAAGGTTTGGTGAACGTCCGTGCTAGCTGGGAATGCACTTTGGTATGTTTTATATAAATTTAAGGTTATGTTTCAAATTGCAAATTGAACATTTTTAATTACTTTTATGGCTGTTTCGCTCTATATCAGAGCTCGTCAGCATGCCTAGGACGTGTTGAAAGATGTTGATGAAATTTTGATAACATCAGTGAGTCCGACATGGACAGCCTGGCCCAAAAGGGTCTGGGGGTTTGAAATCAGAGTTTTCCTTCTCTTAGATGGACTGCCTACCATGGCTAATGAGCTCCATCTACCCAGAGTTTTTGAGTTTAGCTTTTAATCAAAATCTAGTTTTGTGTTTTTCAACAAGAGACTGCACTGAAGGTGGAGGAACTGCAGCTATATTGGGGGCAATCCTTCTAGGGTCATCACTATCCAGACCAATTCTTATGTCTATGGTTCCCTCTGAACTGATCCTTTTTGCAAAGACCTTAAGCAAGAGGTCAGTAATATATGTATATTCCTTCGGCACTAGGACTCTTGTTCGGCACCACTGCTTTGTCCGTTTGCTGTATTTACGTCCATATCTGGAAAATAAAAAAAAACACACAAAGTCAATGTTGAAGTAGCTAACATTCATTTTTTGTTCGTCCATATGAATATATCTTCCCTTCATGCCAAGGAATCAAAATTATGGTCAACCCATTAGGTAAATTCATTTAATACTAAAACATAGTGTGAAGGATAAAACAATATAACAATCCACTTACTTTGGTTCACCATCAGCTGTAGTTGCAAATGCTCTACCTCTGTGGTAATTAGAATCTAAGGCAGCTAGAAGGTTCCTTGCTTTGTATACTGAGTATCTGGCAAAAAAAAGAAGGGTTCTTATATCATCTGAACTTTGTGTTTGAAATAAAGTAATGGTTTACATTTTTCAGTTATACCGTTTTTGATTACTTACGAATAAGCCTGGCGTTTGGCAGCATACATCAAAATCACATTGTGATATGACTCTAAGAATCCAGTGTGTCTAAAAATATATTTTATAAAAATTTTAAATTTGTATACAAATGAATTTGTCTTCATAAAATACAATAACAAAATATATTAACATAGCATGACAAATATTACCTGAAATTGACATAATAGATCAATGTGTTCAAGAACCGCACATCCAAGACAATCTTTGAGAGAGCTTTGTGTGCTGTTGACTCCTTTTTCAACCAGGGCTTTGTTCTTGCTTCTTCACCCAGTGGGTCATGCCCACATTTCCCTCTGTTAATGCCCTCCTCAACCACCCATTCATGTTCATTCACAACATGGTGAAGAATGCCAATCCACTTCTCCTGTTGAAGGAAGACATGTATATATGATGCATGTGAGTTGCTCATTTTCACTGAAAATATATTAAAAAACTATTGCTTTATTGTTAGCAATACTTTACAGGCTTACCTTGAGATTCTTGGAATTTTTGTCACAGGTCTTCGCACAGTGCCAGAAATGATTCCGGAGATAGTACCCAAAGTAGCAACTGATCATTTCCTTTAGCCTTAGCTGTCTAAAAAGCAATGATGGATTTGTTTGTATTTCACACACTATATCAATATGTATAGAATAACTAATTGACTAAAAAAGTAATTCTTCATGGTATACATACAGCATTCATTTTCTTTGTGATGTTTTTTGCACCATGCCACATATCATTCTGATGCACAACCCTTTGTACTTGCTTTCTCTTTCTGAAAACAATTTAAATCACATACAGCAATGACAAAATTAATTAAGAATAGCATAACAATAAAAGAAAATGTCCAGCAACTCTATTCAGTTTGACAATATAGTTCATGGAATATATAGACAGTCACACACTACAAATAAAGGATACATACTCATCAATGCGGCAGTTTCCAGGTGGCCATCTGTCACAACTTCTTTTAGAATCATTGGCGAGGCAAGCAGTGCATCCATCCCTCTCTCAAATCCTATCCTTTCCATATTATTACTTTTCCCTGCTGCTTCTCTCACATCAACAATGCTCACTTGAACAATCGCTCTATCCTGCGTATCTGCCAAACTGTATGTACAGTGCTGTGCCCTGGGGAATCATTTCTACCATCACCACTCAATATGATTTCTTTTCCAGCTTTCTCATTCCATAACTTCTGTTGGTGTTCACTCCAGCACTCATTTATAGCAGGGATGATGTACAACTTCTGATACTGATTAAACAGTGTAGATGAAAAATACTGCAGTTACAGAAGTTGAACATCAGCCCTACTTTGGTATATGAGTTTCCAGATAATAGTAATGCTGATGCAAGCATCAGATTTCATGCTTTCAATTTAGCACAGGATGGTTGAGCTGCCCATCTTCCACCAAAATGACCAGCATTACAACTCCATGAATCAACAAGGCATGTCCCAATATATGTCTTTCTATATGCTAAGACACGACCACATCCCTCTCGTTTACAAACACACCCATGTAATGAAGTTAAAGGTGACATGAGGGTGTCTGTAAAGACAATGCATTTCTCCATTTTGATTGCTTCCGCTGGGCTGATCTCCTCAACAGTTGACCTGTATTCTG